CCCAAGCTGTTTGATTGGTCCTGGACCTTTGTGCGCTCCCCCTCCGTGACCCGGGCCTGACGAAAACAAACCAGATAGGACCTATCCTTGAACTCTCACTGAGCTTCCCACTGATTCTCCCCGTTGCTGCGTCTTCACCGCCGATGTCAAGACGCATCAAGTGTGTGTTCGCTCGTGCCATCTGCCCCCTCCACCTCCCCACCCTCCACCCCATCATCTCCATCCAGACCCATCAGCTGCTCTACGTGCCGTCTTGTCACACCCTGCAGACACCGTCATGAATGGTTATAAAACTATTAAATGATATTTAAATGGAAAATGAATATGGCTGTAGTTATAAATTAACTAATTGCTTTATAACTATTTTTAAGGCTCTCTAAGGACAGTTTGTTTTTTAGTATTTAAAGTTGTTTTTGTGTTTTGCACACCTCACTTTTCTTGTCTTTTGATCCACCTCCACTTTATTATGTGCTTTGGCTTTTGCTCGTTGTTCCTCCTCTTCCTTTGTCTCTTGGCTTACGTGGATTGGTCTCTCCTGTCAGGTAGCAATGACATTCATTCATTCATTCATTCATTCATAGTTAGACGGCTACTGCCGTCTAACTATGCTTCTGCCGTGCCTTCTGCCGTGCCTTCATCCTCCCCTGGCTGCCATCCACACTACATGATTAGTCATTCCTGTCATTCCACTGCAGTCACCTGTTTCTAATTCATTCACAAACTCCGTGGCGCTCTTTGACGGACATATCTAGTGTCCCATCGACATCCGATCTGCAGCTTCCTGTTTGTTCCTCCTCGTCTTGAGGGAAAAACACGCCGATTCCTCTCTTCTCGGTTTTGGCTTGCTACTGATTGGACAGAAAGCACAAAGGTTGTGTCGGAGGGTGTCGACTGAGCTTGGCTCTCCAAATGTTGAAGGAATCTGATAACAGCTGTTAACCAGGTTGTAACAAAGGCCAGCAGTCCTTTACAGCCACTACTGTATCAGGCTCCACCTTTATTTGTGTGTGACACCTGTACGTGCGCCGACATTCCCACGAACCAGTTTGGCTTCCAGCCCGTGTGAACTATAGCGCTTCAGGAACTCTCTGGTGGCCTGGTTTCTCCCTTGAAGCTGGTGTGCCACCTGTTTTCTGCCTCCCCGGGGCTATTTCTGTGTGCAGTAGTGAGGGAGTGGGTTAACTGGAGAGCTTGTAAAGCCCTCCTCCGGGTGAGCACGGGGTCTGTGCTCCCGTGGAGACTGTTGTCTAAAACTTTTTTTGTTTGCTTGGAGGAAGTAAAGCTTTGGGAACTACGGGTCCTTGAACTGAAAGAGATTCAGTGGTCCGTTTCCTTTTAACTCGCTGGCTTACATAAACTCTGGAGATTTTTCTGCTTCAAGTTTCATGTTGTTTTTCCGCCGGTTTGACATCCTGACTGGGAGTTGTGGAGCGGTGACGGTAACAAACTATGGCTGAGTCAGTCACCTGTGTCAGGAGCCCTGCTGAAAGGTAAGGGAGCATGGAGGTCTCACATATGACAGACTGCTTTTATTTCTATTATAGTGAAAACAAACAGCGTGTGAATAATCCGGGTCCCGTTCTTTAGACCTGGAAGCTGCATTGTTTGATATAATAACACATGATCACACCAAGTTTACAAAACACCCTCTGTCTCGCTTTTGATTATTTAGCCCTTGAAATCCACTTCAGTTCAGATGGGTTGGAAAGTAGAAATGGAAGACACCATTTTTCACAGAAAGGGGAAAAACCCAAAGTCTCAGTTTAGCATCTTATGAGATAAAGAAAGCAGCAAAGTCAACTGATTGGCTTATATTTTCAGCTCTATTTCTTTATTATCCACAGTAGAACTTCCAGTACTTCTCACTTTAACCCCCCCCCCGCACTTGCTCAGAATAGAATATTCCATTATAGAGCTTGCCCTATCAAACACACACCCCTCTGGCCCGGCAGCATGGTCTCTCCCATCTGATCTCCCCTAGTAACCGACCGGACTTGTGTGTGTGTGTGTGGTGACATCATCAGTCAGCTGCTACAGTGGAGTGGGAGAGAGAGAGAGAAAGGGAGGGGGAGGGAGAGAGAGAGGACACACACACTCACTCACTCACAGCCCCTCTTGTCTTCCTCTGGTAAACATGGCAGCGGCGGCAGCGACTGACACACAGTGCGTAGTGAAGCCTAGCCTAGCTTAGCCTAGCCTAGCCTCAGCTGTCAACATGGAGGAGGAGGACGCAGCGGCCGACCCCTATCTGCCCTACGACGGGGGAGGGGACACCATCCCCCTGCAGGAGATCCCTAAAAGAGGTACGCCACGTCGTCTTCTTCTTCTTCTTTCTTCTCTTCCCCTCCGTTTCCCTCCTTTCCTCACGCTGCTGTGATGACAGATGCCATCCTCCTCCTCCTTCTTCTTGGACAGTGAGTGCATGTCGCCATACGTTGGCTTCACCATGTTATTGGTGTCGGAAATCATGGTGCCAGTATGGATTTGAAAGCTATCGACTGCATGTTTCTTGGGAGCAAAACAGCCACCTGCCCAGCTCACCATTCACCTCTCTGTAGATGATCAACCAGCAGTGTGTGTGTGTGTGTGTGTGTGTGTGTGTGTGTGTGTGTGTGTGTG